TTCCTTTGGGCAATTATCCCGATTCCTATTTTTTTTTATCCCTTCCTGGTTTCATATCTGATCATTCATCCAATGGACCTCCCAGTGACTCAGCACTTGGTTAAATTTTTCTCATCAGACACAGAGAGTGACAGAGAAACAGAAAGAAAAGGAAAAGGAAAAAGCATGCCCCAGCAGGGTTCTGAGATCTCTTCTCCACTGTTCCTCTACCCTGTCAGGATTCTGAAATAAATACACATGTATATCAGCATGTTTTTAAAGACCCCTGGGCTGGGATTTGAACCACATGGTTGGCCACATGGAAATCTGGCTCCCTTAACCACTAGGCCACAGGGCTGGCCCACTACCATTCTACTCTCTATTTCTATGAGTTCAACTTTTTAAAATTCCACATATAAGTGAGATCATACACTATTGGTCTTTCTGTGTCTGGCTTATTTCACTTAGCATAAAGTCCTCTGGGTTCATCCAAGTTACTAAAAATGACAGAATCTCCTTCTTCTTAAAGGTTGAATAGTATCCATTGTGTGTATAAACCATATTTTTTTCTTATCTATTTTACCTGTTGGTAGATACTTAGATTGATTTCATATCCTAGCTATCATGTATAACGCTTCAATGCACAATGGAAGTGTTAGTATCTATTTGACATACTGATTTTAATTCCTTTTCATATATACCCAGAAGAGGGATTGCTAGGTTATACAGTAGTTCTATTTTTAGTTTGTTGAGGGACAGCCATATGTTTTCTATAATGGCTGTCTAGCAGTCCCCCCGCCCCCTTATATGTTCTAAGACCACAGTGGATACCTAAAAGAGTAGATAATACTGAGTTCTTTATACATATTACGATTTTTTCTGAATATACATATCTATGACAAAATTTAACTTATAAATTAGGCACAGTGAGAGATTAACAATAATAACAAAGAATAAAATAGAATAATATGCTAATAGATATTACATGAATATGGTCTCTCCCTCTCTCAAAATATTGTGGCAGTGGATACCTAAAAGAGTAGATAATACTGAGTTCTTTATACATATTACGATTTTTTCTGAATATACATATCTATGACAAAATTTAACTTATAAATTAGGCACAGTGAGAGATTAACAATAATAACAAAGAATAAAATAGAATAATATGCTAATAGATATTACATGAATATGGTCTCTCCCTCTCTCAAAATACTGTGGTTTTTTTGGAGAGGTTTTCACTATCAGGCGCGTGCACTCGCCAGACAGACAGAGAGAGACATAGAGACAGAAAGTGAGAAATCACCCCCCCGGGGGGATGGTCACGCTGCAATCCCTTCTCCTCCATTCTCCTCTCAGGATCTTGGGCATGCACATACACGTGCCCGGCGTGAGTTCTAAGCCACCAGGTCCGGGACACAAACCGCGGTCGACTACGTGGGAGTCCAGCGACATAGCCATTACGCTAACTGCTGGTTCCCAAAATATTGTGTGTGTTTTTTTGAGAATTATTTTACTTGGGTCGGCAGGTGGCATGGTGGTTAAAGGCGCTGGATTCCCACATGGCCGACCATGGTTCAAGTCCTGGACCTGGCAGTTTTCTCTCTCTCTCTCTCTCTCTCTCTGTCCCTCTCTGGTCAAATTGAAATAAACAAATGAATAAATAATAAATAAAGTTAAATAAAATAATTCTAAAAAAAAGAATTATTTTACTTAACTTTATTTATTTATTTAAATATGACTAGAGAGGGACAGAGTGAGAGAGAAAGAAGGAAAGCAAGAGAAAGTGTGTCACCAGGTTTGAGATTTGAACCGTGATTGGCCATGTGGGAGTCCATTGCCCTTAACTACCACGCCACCTGCTGGCTCCTCAAAATATTTCATTATACTGCACTCACCTACTTTTGGACCATGGTTGATGATGGGTAACTGAAACCATGGAAAGTGAAACTGTAGATAAGGGGGCATGACTGTACTAATTTAGATCCTCACAGTGTACAACATTTTATCGTCCACCTTTTCTTTTCTTTTTTTTTTTTTTTAGAGGTTTTTGCTATAGGGCGCGTGCGCTCATCAGACAGAGAGACAGAAAGCGAGAAATCACCCCCCAGGTGGGATGGCCACGCTGCAATCCCTTCTCCTTCATTCTCCTCTCGGGATCTTGGGCACGCACACACATGCAAGATATGATGAAATTTAAAGCAAAGATGAGTAGGAAATATGATTTAATGATAACACTAGTTTTAACTTTAGGTCCTGAGATAAAGGGAAATTTTTATTTTCTTGTTTTTACTAATTCTTTTTTTTAAGAATTATTTAATTTTATTTGTTTTTGTTATTTTTTAATTTGACCAGAGAGAGACAGAGAGAGAGAAAGGGAAAGTGAGAAAGCAAGCCGCTAGGTACAGGACTCAAACCGTGGTCAACCATGTGGGAGTCCAATACCTTAACTACCACGCCATTTGCCGCTAATTCTATTTTTTATACTTGATCTCAGCCAAATACTGAGAAACAATGCTACCTCTATTTTCTCTCTCTGGTTTTGTTTTGTTTTGGACAGAGGGCATATACCCTCATCAAGAGAGACAGAGGAGAAAGCACGCCCCTGATGGAGTATGGTCACGCTGCAGTCCTTTCTCCTACTTTTCTCCATCTTGTTGAGATTTTGAGCATGCATGCACATATGCCCAGTGTGTTTCCCAACCTAAGATTCGAACTGCAAAATGGGCCATGCGAGATCTGGCTCCCTTAACCACCAGGCCACAGGCTAGCCTACTAACTCTATTTTCTAAATGTTTCCATACAAATCATGTATCCCCCTTCTGTAATATTAGCAAAACAATAAAACTATAATTTTTTAAAAGCAAGACAAAAACATGATCATCTTAAAAATTCCAAAGCAGAATATCAAATCAAGCCTCATCTATCTCACTCTCAAACATGGCGGAAGCCCCCTAACTGATCTCTTGGCTTCCAGTTATCCTAACTCTAAACCATCCTGGATCTTGTCGTCAGTTATCCTGTCACGTTAATGGCTGTGCAGAATCCTATACACAGAGCATAAAACACAATCTTGACTTTATGCAAAGCATTTCTAGAATAACCTGCCTAAATCTAACTTTCCACCTTTATCTACCAGTACTAGTATATCAAATCTTCAGTTCTTCTAGAATCCTTGTAGAAAAGAGGCCAGGCCTCAATCACGGACCCTAGCCAATACAAAATTTCTGGGCCTCAGTTCTTTCATGAAAAATACTAATAAAGATTTAATATTTAAATAAGTAGAGCACCCAGCACACGTGTCTTCAATAGACGGTAGTTTTTATTACTGTCATCATGAGGTAATCGCATTTTTACTCATTGACTCCTGAAAAGCTTTGCATGTTCACATCTGTGCTTTATATATCACTATTTTGCTCCTATCTGAGTTCCTTACCTATCTTGGAAAATTTTACTAAAAATAAAGGCCCAGTTCAAGTCCCCTTCTCCAAAGAAGGCTTCCTTGACTTTGACAAGTTAATATGATCTCTCACTCTGCTATCATTTGAATATGTCTTCCCAAAATTAATCTGTTGAGGCTCGGTTCCAGTTGTAATAGGATTAAGAGGGTGAAAACTCAATCCAACTGCAATGTTGAAAGGTGGGGCCTCTGGGAAGTGATTAGGATTAAGGTCATTGAAGGGGAAAGGGGCATGATTAAATCTTGGTGGGTTTATAAGGATAAGGAAGGAGATGGATATATGGACACAGACACATATGTTCTTGCTATTTTCAAGCTCCTTCCATGTGAAGTCCTGGGCTGCTTCAAGACTCTGTAGGGGATCTTCAGCAACAAGAAGATTCTTACCAGATGCAGCTTCTGAACTTTGAACCTCAAAAACCATTGGAACATATTCCATATAAAGTACTGATACTTGGGAATTTCTATTAATATATATTATTAGCAACACAACAAACTAAAACACACTACACTCTGAACCTGTGTAGCACTGAGAGCTTATTCTACTCAAATATTGTTGTCTAGCTAATTATTTTTCTTTTAGTTTTTTTTTTTTTTTTCCATATGGAACATGTGCTTGCCGGAGAGAGACAAAGAAAGGGAAAATGAGAAATCTCAAGAGGGGATGGCCATGCTTCAATCTGTCTTCCTAATGAGAAATCTCAAGAGGGGATGGCCATGCTGCAATCTGTCTTCCTCCATTCTCCACTCAGGATTTTCGACATGCATCCACACGTACATGGTGTGATTTTTTTTTCTTATGAAAGGAAAAGTAAGTTATTAAGTAAAAGTGAAAGTACGCTCCCGAAAGGTAGGAGCAGGCCTGAGGGAACAGAGAAAGAGTGGCTTACAA